CAAAACAGTGCATAAAAGAGACACGTCTCGTCTCAATCTGATTTGTTGCTAAATTTAAGAAACATTTCTCCTACAACTATTGCACTGAAGTTTGGTTTGTGATTAACAGCTAATAAACCGCTCATGTTTAGAATTGCCAGACAGATACAAATGATATTTACTTATGGAACATTTATTTCAGCAGCATTTGTGTCAATTTGATGACAAATGCTGGTTGGGAACACGCAAAAGTTCTGAAGATTTGGTTTGAAGATTTGGGTTCTTCACCAGTCAAAGCCTTATGGAAGAGTGGCAAAGTTTGTAACTCCTTCAGAGGAGTCATACTGTCTTGGTGGCTTCCCTCGCTCGTCTCTTTCTTGCTCATTCAGTTTTTGAGGACAGTCTGCTCTAGACACATTTATGTAAGTCCCTTATCCGTATACCAAAAATGGCCATTTGTTTGAACACTCCCATCACAGAAATGTTTAGGTCCAGCTCGTAGACCGTATAATATACACAGTCTGTGGTCCAGCTGCTGCTGCACTCTACACAGCAGGCACAACATTGCTGCTTTCATCAGTCTGTTAAACTGGTGGCTTTCTGTCATTTAGACATTGGTCACTTTTACATTAATGTTCCACACTTCATTCAAACATAACCAGGATGTAAATGTTTGTTGTGCAGAGTGACAAAGGAACTGCCTCTGATTGGCTCTTATCCTAACCCAGATGTTTGTAGAGTCACATCATTTCTATTCTCACCAATGGACTGTTTTTATTACAGCAGGGGTGGACTGGTGAACCTCTCAGTCGTTCCCAGAATTTAGCAGCTTATGGCAAAAAGGTCTAACATGTGATAGCTGAATTTGACTATCCAGCCTTAAAATGACAAAGGCATTTTGGCTAAGCATATTCACACTGTGGCAAGTGTTAATTTTTAATTCACAATATCTATAACATCACGCTGACGAGATCTGTAATTCAGTTTTGACTGATATCTGTCACAAACCAGGTTGTACTGCCGTGACAAATCGGTGACATACACACACCAAGGCCAGTTTACAAGTTGTGTATTTGAAAAAATAAGAAAAATTAAATTATCAATGCCATAAAATATCAAAGTCTGTAGGATCAGAAGTGAGTGCATGTGTGGAAAAAATTGGGAAAATGGTTGAATGCCAGTTGGTGCAAAAACAGAAACTATCAGCTGACAAAATCACACAGGTGTTCTCAGGGAGGGAAGCACCGACAACTGGGCTCACAAACACCAGGACCAGGACCAGCCCAGAGCAGCCACCATGTGTCTTCTAGCCTTAAACATATTACTACGTTAACATGCTCAAGAACCTGATTTTTATCAGAGGGGGTCTATAATTATATAAGTAATCATACTAAACATGCAATACATGGTATAAGTAATGGTTTTAAGGAACCATTCTGCAGTGCAAGTGAGGAGTGCTGCAGGATGAGGACCAGTAACAGTCAGGAATACCAGCGACATGTCACAGGGGAGATATACCGTCCTCACTGTGACTAGAGAACATTAAGATGTCCTCAAAAACTCTAAACATTTCCTGTTTTCAACGAAGAATCATTATTTATTTTACAACAAAATCGCAAATTGCAACCCTGAATCCAAACCACCTGCTCTAACAGGACTTTACAGAGAACAACCAGTAGGGGGCACTGCAGCACACTAAAGATAACTGCAAACAGGGGACGCGTTAATCTGAATTCAGCTGATGACGCCTGTCATACTTTGATAAACATCAGCGACGAGGGCTGCTGATGATAACCACAAGGAATAAAGTTGTGGAACAAAGTCCACATCTCCTCATCCAGGAGCATCAAACACGTCCTCTTCTCCATCTGTAGCTCTTTTCTCTCTTTCAGCACACTGTGAAGCACTTGGGTCACTTTTGGGCTGTTGTAAAGGGCTCTATAAATAACCTTTGATTGACTGACTGATTGAGCTGCCCTTAACTAAAAGCCATCAGGAATTATCACAATCATTTCTTATGTTTTTAATACACCAGTATGAAGAAGCTCTTTAGCACAAATTATATTTTTAATGCTAAAATAGAATTATTATTATTATCCATGAATTTTTAAATGTACTGTTTTACAAAAAAAAAAGAAAAAATAGTAACGCACGTTATTATTTCTTGATTAAGATGTCAAATTATAGTTGTTTGCTTCCATTCATGTACAGAAAAAATAGTTTTAGTGGTTGAATTTTCAGTTTCAACAATAAACCTGGTGCAGCTTTATACTGAAGGTAAAAATACACATGAATTCAATGAAATAATTAGTATTTATATATCAGAATAACCATTTAATCATCGGTTGTCATGTTTCAATATACAATTCATTTACTGTCATTTTTACTTGCAGGTCACGAGCAGGAGGATCATATAGCTTTAACTTCACTACCAACTTTTTCCCTTTTATGTTAGAATAACAGTTGGTATGCTTAAAATAAAGGGAAAAACTAAACTAAACGACAACAAAACAAACAAACAGCTCTGGTAAAACTGTGGAATGATTCATATAAGAAGATAAAAAGGTATTTAAAGTACGCATAGAGATGCCACATATTAAACATAGAACATTTGTTTTTTGGTGTTAATGTTTCTGCCTTGTAGTTTGAGTTTCCTTACATCTTCTAAAACCTTGAAAAGGCATCTAAAAATGCACATGGACGGCCGAGTGACCTATAAAGTCTGTTAGCTCTGAAGCTGGACATCAGATATTAGATTTACAGCCTCTTGAACATTTCAGCCACTGAGCAGTGAAACCTTTATAATACACATTTAACAGACAGCAGGGAGAGGGGAAAAAAAGAAAACAAGACATTAAAAACATGATTTTATCTGCGCTGAAAGCATCTTCCCTGAAGTGCAAACTGCCGTGTAAAGAAGGCCACTCTAGTGTTGAAGAATGTCTGTACATGTATGATTAAAAATTTGTGCAATTTTGCTTTACACACTGACTATTTGTGGTTCGATGTAGTGCACAGACCCACGGATCAGATTAAATCCCGTCATCAGAACGCTCACATCACAGTGTTCTGTCTTCGTTTGCCAGCAGATCATCCAGGATGCGCTCGCACATGTACAGGCAGCGAGGCACGTGGAAGAACCCTGCAAAAGATGACAAACACAATTATTAACTGTCTATGTCCTTCAAGGGACCTAAACGATCCTATGTTGTTTTTTTTTTTATTATATGGAATCGACCCCAAGTTTTGCACGTTGGGTATGAAGCCTGCCGAGAAGTTCGACAGATGCCCTCAAGAGATGTCCCTAAATCAGTCAAGTAATGTGTTATTGCAAAGCTACAAACTACAGAAGTCTGCTCCTCAAGGCTGCATTAGTTGCTGTCAGCTGTCTAGACTGAACCATGACCTGGATAAAGACGCACCTTCTCCCCAGACAAATGAGCACAAACTGTTTTCTAGCTCCTGACTTGTGGGTCCACGGCACATGTGCATTCATGTCCATGGCGCTCACTCGTTAACCTTTACACTGTGGTGACCTCATGCAAATAAAACTCACTTTTTCTACACTTTGGGGACATTTAATAAATATGAAAACTACATAAATTTAGAAAAAAAAGGCAACTGGAGGCATCCCATCACATCGACTGTGAAGTTGTGTTGTTGCTAATGCCCAAACCGGATTGTGAAAGGGAAGAAGAATGAACGATATTTATTTTCTTATGTGCAGACTTAAGAAAAATCTACACTGTGCATCATAAAACTACTTCCAGCGACAGTGTTCTACCTACCTGACGCTCATTCATAAATCAGTTCATACTTTTATCTGCATTTCTTGGTGGCAGAACGCTCAACTGTGTTCCACCAGAACTAAACTGACCTTCAGTTAGTTCCATCCCACATCAATCCAACAAACACAACACAAAAAATGGACTTACTGGCTGGTAAACATACAGTTCAAACCAGAAGTTTACATCCACTGCATGAAAAGACATAAAATCTTATTTTTTGTCTCACTGTCTGACATTAAATCAGACTAAACTTTTCCTGTTTTAGGTCAGTTAGGATTACCAACAATATTTCTATTTGCTAAATGCCAGAATAATTTGGGATTGAGTGTGTTACGCATTTGCTTTAATCTAGCATGTGTTCCATCAGCATTTCATTTCCCTCCTTTTGGTTTTACATTCAGTTAAATGCACATCTTAACCATGTCCTTACCTTTAAACGGACCTCCTTTAAAATCCAGTGCTACTTTCCCTTCTTGTGTCAAATAGCCGAACCACTCACCGCCGTTAGCATCAGGGAACTGCACAGAACCAGACGCACGCACACACACACACACACACACACACACACACACACACACACACACACAAACAGTATATTGAAATATACAACTATACACTGGCAGTGTCAATATGTTAAAGGCTTCAGAGATTCTATCTTTCTTTAATCATCTCCAGAAAGTGCATGTGATCTTTGATTGTTTGTATTTAATGCTTGAACGGTAATAGTACCGTAAAACACAGTCTTAGGAGTTGTGTTCTGAAACTGTGGCTAGTTAAAGGAATAGTTCACGAGATTGGTAGGTTGTGTTCACTGTGGAACATAGTCAAGATGTGGTTAGCATAGCTTAGCATAAAAGCTGTGGAAACAATATCCTGGAGACAAATTGTTTAAAAAAAAAAAAAACAGAACATTGCTTTTCTATATTTTTCCTCCTAAAATGTTCAAGCAAAAGAATGCAGGATCGTTGTTTTCACCACACGTTGCCAGATGCAAGCAGGTGTTGCTGTGCGTTCCAGTGTGGCCTCATTAGGTGTAAAGTTTAATGCAAAACCACTTTGATATGTGAGGGTTTGGATGAAAATAGATCCGTTTTTGTGTCAATAATGAATCAGAGCACTGACTTGCAGACTGAAGCTAGCTCCGACGACGTGGGCTCTGGACAAAGTCAGACGCCAGGACTGATGAGGGGCTCTTATATATTACTATAAAAGTCCTTTTCCATCTCACAAGCGTTCAACCTGCTGTGGCGATGGGTGGAGAAGAGGAAGGAGGTAGCTTCCAAAACTAAAGGATGCTTGTCAAGAACCAAAACCACTTCCAAAAAACTGCAGCAGGTGCCTCACCTGTCCACGGTTTTGCATTTGGCTGCGTAAATACAGCATTCTGAAAACTTTACAGTCAAGTGCAGGGTTGCTAAGCACCTGACTTATGTGCACTTAAGGGTTAAGCTGACTTCACACAGCATGTTAAATCAGTGACCAGTAGAGATGCTGGTTGGTGTTTTTGGAGCTTGGACAGAGCCGGACAAGCTGTTTCCTCCTGTTTCCAGCTTTGTAACATGAGGTTGGACTCATACAGACCAGAATAAGCCTATTTCCCACAAATGTTAATCAGAAAAAGAACCTGTCTTGTTGGGAATGCAGCGTAAACTCACGTGGCTGAACGTGTATTCATAAACTTGAAGGAATCTCTCCAGCAGCTCAGGCTTCCTGGTCTGACTGTAGGCCATGAGGAAAGCAATGAGAGCCTCACAGTGAGGCCACCACAGCTTCATGTTCCACTCCAGCTGCTCAGACACACAAAACATATCACACAGTCTGATGCATTATACAAAAGGCGGTAATTAACTAAATGCTACCAAATGAAACCAGAAGGAATGTGCACTCACTGCCCGAAGGTCAGCTGACTAACCTGTGTGGGGCAGTGACCATCCACATCCAGGAAGTAGAACAGACCGCCATGCGTTTTATCCCAGCCGCACTGATAAGGGAGCTCGATGAACTTGTTGATGGCAGTGCTCTGGATCTTCTCGTCCGTCCGCTCTGCACCGTACTGCAGCAGGAACCAGCCCGCTTCCAGGGCGTGACCTGGCACGGGTCAGCACGTCAGGAAGCCCAAAGAAATGTGGAAAAAAGTTGAGGCAAGAAATTAAGAACAGGAAAAAACGTGTGACAACTTGCCTCCGCAGGCACCATCACTATTATCTGGAGTGTTTACCCGGGTTCTGGAGTCGTCCCGAACAACCCGGCAGCTCCTTCCCATCGACTGACACGTTCTCTAAAATAGCTGTTCCATCTCTCTGTGCCAAGTTACACAGGAAGAGAGAAGAAGCATTACACATCGCAAATTTAACAACAATGTTTAAGTAAAACGGCAGCTTCTAGCTTCCAACAACGTCATTATTTAACAGTACGTTGGGTACATTTGAAGTAATTTACAATTTGTCTGATGATCTGACTGCTTGTGTCCAATCTACACGTTTCTTGATACAAGTTTATTATGAGATCCCAGATATTACAATAACAAAACTGACAGCCAGGAAGATAGAGTGAAAAAGCAAAATGAAAAGTGCCATTTTTATTGGGTGTTGTTTAAGGTACCTATGAAGTGCAGGATATCCAGTTTGAGTATCACATTAATGTATTAAACGGCTTTATCGCGGACATTTATGACCAAAAGTTTACAGACCAAGTATGTCTTGAGTTACCAATGACTCCGATGACTACAACTCTGAATTTTCTGCGATGGAATGATTGAAACACGTGTCTCAGTCGCACAAAAACAATGCATTTTGGTTCTACTGTAAGTTTATTAGAGATTTTTTTTTGGAAATCTGCTGTAAGTGATTACGACTGACTACAGCTGCTGACTCCTCCCGGCCTATTTAAATTCGGCCCATTTGACCCACTCACTGGTCACATACGCTGCAATTAGAAAGTCTGAGGAGCTCAGCTGAGATCTGAAAAAAGCAAATTATTAACTTTGACAGGTCAGGAAAATCACGAGCCATTTCAAAGCAGCAACAAGTCCCAAAATCAACTGTGCAAACAATCTTAAGTATAGAATGCAGAACACAGTTGTGTCACTGCCACGATCAGGAAGGAAATGCAAACTGTCCCCTGCTGCTGAGACCCAGCTGGTCTGGATGGTCAAGTGTCAACCAAGAATCACCAAAAAGCTGCTGGAACAGAGCTGTCAGTGTCCACAGTCAAACATGTTTTACATCGCCGTGCCCTGAAAGGCTGCCATGCAAGAAGGAAGCTCTTCCTCCAAAAGGACCTCGACTGAAGTTTGCTGCTGATCACATGGACAAAGAAAAGGCCTTCTGGAGGAAAGTTCTGTGGTCAGATGGAACAAAAACAGCTACTTGGTCACAAGGAGCAGCAATATGTTTGGAGGAGAGAAGGTGAGGCCTTTATCGTGGTATTATCGTGCTCTGAGGCTGTTCTGCTGCAAGTGGAACTGGGGTTTTATATCAACTGCAACAGTTTCTCACAAGACAAGCGGTCAAAGTTAAAACCAGAAGCTTGCTAGAGGCTTGTGGGCGGCTCCCAAAAGTACCTAACTTGGGTATAAATAGCCAAAAGACATTTAACCACATATTAGCGTTGCTGTATGCATATTTCTGATTTAGCAGATTTCATAACAAATTCATAAAAGAACCAAAATCCATGATTGCTTTTGTGACAAAGACACATTTTAATAATCCAGCATAGGAAATGTAGAGCTGTAGGAGTCACTGAACAATCATGACATGCATGTGTACTTAACTGTTGTTCCCTGCTGTAAATTTAACTTCTTCCTGAATCATTTTGTTCTGGAAAGCCATTTGAACTACAAAGTCCATACCTGGATGTGGTGTAGAATCTGCTGCACACACCACTGTTCCAGTTCTTTGTACTTCTGAACCACCTCCGGACCCCGACCTCCAGTTAGCTGCTGCACCAAACACAGCAGCATCATGGGAACGGCCATGCTGTTGGCGGGAACGTCTCCCGGGAGCTGGGGCCGACCCAGGCCGGACGAGTCCACCCGAACCCAGTGGATCAGCTGCTCCATCATCTGCTCGGCCTCCAGCTAAGACACAACACAGCAGAGGCAAGTCTACCAGAGAGGTAATAGACACTGGGAATGTGAATGTGTGTCTATGTGTTCACACTGTATTTATTAACAACAAAAGCTGCAACCAAAAACCAACCTTTGCATTTAGTATCCACAAATGTGGTGTTTGGAAATGTGAGAACTCTTAAGAATTTACTTCAAGTCTGCATAAATGGGACCTAAAACATCATCTGAGTTTCCCACGAGTTCTTGAAGTAAATAAAAAAAATACTGAATTAAAACAACGAGACAAAAATAATAAACTTGGTCATTTATTTATTGAGGAAAATAATCCAATTTAATATTTCTGTTCGTGGCCAAAGTATTTGACAATTTGTTTTTGTCTCCGATCCAAATCACCCTGACTCTGGTACGCAGCAATAACTACAATTAAATTCAGTTTTATTAATACACTGCAAAATGAAAACAAAAGCATCTCAAAGCATTTCATTCAAAATGATACAACTGAGAGACATCCAACAAGTTCTATATAATATTATGGTTGAATTTTGAGAATTTCATGTTTTTAGACTTACGAATGTCGATATTTTCACTATCAAAAAACATGTCTTACCAGGCAAACCTTTTTTAAAGGCTAAATATCCTTCATACAGCCATGACATTTGATAAGGACACAGACAAAGTTGTTTCCAACAGATCTAAAAGACTGAATGACTCCAGCAGAGGCCATTTTAAAAAAATAAAATTGGTCCTTAAAAATGTAAAAAAACAAACAAACAAGGGTGCTATTGGGATGCATATTGGGATGTATCCATATTTCCAAATAAAAAGGGTCTTTAGCAAACATTTCTCTAACTTTTGAGGCCTCCAACAGTAAAGTTTAATGGGTGGTGATGCTCCATCATAAGTTAGAACTCTATTGCACAGTGAACACTGAGCTAAAGCTTGACTTGAGTTTTTTTTGTTTTTAATCACTAATCAGTTGAAAATCAATTGCAAAATCTGTCAGAAGAATTTCAATTAGATATTTTGTCCTGATCAACCCACACTGGCAGTCTACACTTATCAAACCTGCAGCCAAAGAGCCTCGGTGTAACTTACGACCTCTCTTTTGACAAATAAATCACAAAAGCTGTAGACATCTTGTTGTTTCATGACTAAGCCGAAGCATACACGTCCAACTTTGAGCTGCCTCGAAACTCTCCACAAATTCAAAGACACAAGATCAAAACGGTGGTAAAAGTATTGATTAACCAAAGTTTATGTTTATAATTACAGTATTTACACGAAGAGTTCTCTTCCTACCTGCATCTCCTGGTCACCGGTGACTCTGCTGAGTTCATCCATGGCCATGATGTAGAAACACTCACTGAATATGGTCCTCTGAACTTTGACTGCTTTACCGTCTCTGGTTAAGCAGAAGGCACATTTCCACTGACCGCTGGTCCTGGACACGCGAGCAAACTTTCTCAGGAACGCACCTCCTAAGAAGGAAACACAACAATGTGACCGTTTTAGATCAGTGAAAGCAATTAGTATGAAGAACTTTATAGACGTGAAAACATCTCTGGATTTGTCTCCTGTTAAAACTCTGTTCTGGGACAGTGAAATGGTCATATATGTGGAGTAAATCTTTAAATCTTTTGAGGTAATTTTAGGAAAATTTACTGCCTTGTGGATAAGAAACAGCCACAATGCGAGCACGGCTTTAACAAGCTGCTCAGTGCACATCACCAGACAAACTAGGTCTAGAGAAACACACATCGTTTGTGTTTTTTATGTGCTACAGGGGGGAAGTTTTCCTCAATCTATCCTCACAGGAAATATGTTGTTAATTAAGTTTTGATCACAGTGAAAAGAACCCAAGTTTCTCTGTGGACATGTCCTGCTGTACCTTCGTCAGCCTTGTACCAAAAAACCCTTTAACTAACAAACATAAAGCAGGACTCCTCTTAGTTGCCAGAGATGTGAGAATGTGCAGATCTCAGGTTTTTCTGCCTAACAACAGCAACATGCTGAGCACCTTAATGTGTGTCAGACACGATCAGCAGACGGCAGCAGAGCAAACACGACTGAGTCAATAATTGCTTACACCACGTCTGCTGCCAAAACCCTACCTGAAAACAAACATTAAGCTACGGCTGAGCAACATGTTTATTTACAAAAAGGATCAATTCTGATGGCTGAAGGTGAGTCAAAATTGTACAATGGTTACATAATGAATCTATCTGAGAAAAAAGATAAAGCTAAAGCCCTCCTAGACTGCCACTGTCATTACACCCAACAATAGCAAAGAATAATATGTGGTCATTTAAACAGACCTTTTTCTGCAGACCTTCTGCTGCACCCATGAACTGTTATCTATAGTGATGGATCTATAATTATTATCTTTGTGGTTTCATAATACAGGAGAGGGAAAACACATTCAATCAATCAAAAAAAACAGCACTGCTTTTCTTTTCTTGTAGCCTTCACGAAGGTTATTTAATTGACTGAATTTAGGATTATTAGTCAGCATGGTAATAACTGTGCGTCTGCCTCCAGCCAGCTATGCAGCAGCTCTAAAGTTCACAGGACTGATGGTTTAAAGATGGATGAATGGAAGTCAAAGTCAGTGTGAGTAGGACAGACTGACACTTCAGTAGTGGCAGGTTCAGAATAATTTTGTTTGATAAGATGGTCACTTTTGCAAATCAGGCAATTAGACAGTCAGAAATTCTTGCCATGGCATTGGTTCCAGACCAATAACGGCTCACCATCTAAACCGTCTAGTGTCAAACTCAGGCCCACAAGATAATATCAAATGTCTACTGAAGCTGGTCTGCCAACAAATTCAGTCACAGCCAGGAGGGCAGTGGTCGTCCCAACCCTGGTTGAAATAAGAACAGATAACCTCAAAAGAAACAAAGGTGAAACCACAAATATAGACAAAAACGGTTCGTCAAGCTTGAATTAATTTAATTTGATTACGGTGAAGAACAACATATTATTTTTCCTATTAGGGAGAGCCGAAGCCCGACAGTGTACGGCAGGCGGCAGCCAGAGCATTGGTAGAGAGCTTAGGTTTTGGCAACCTTTCCTGTTTTTCTCTTTGTCATTTTTTTTTTTAAACTATTTTGGTTGTTTTGTTGGGTTTCCATTAAAACTGAACACAAGAGAGAATTTTATTATTTTATTCATTTAAACAAAAATAAGAAACAAATGCTACTTAATGTGAAGCTTTGCTTGTTCCAGATTCAATGTTTAAGCAAAACTTAAGTTTGTTTGTATATGAAAAAGTTCATCATTATATATCTGGAGGGAAAGTAAAACATGCACAGCTGTCAAATGTCAGTTTTTCAAGAAATATCAAGTCTGGCCCACGACTTAGTCCCAGTTTTCTTTTTGATTTTGACCCACTGTGTGTTTGAGTTTGAATGTCAGTTACCAGCTTTTGCTGCTTCAAGGATTTCCGGCTTGTGGAAGCGCTCCATGGTTCGGTACAGCCGACTATACATCCACACCTGTGACGGGAACAAGCCAAAGTATTGGCACAACATCTGAATATCCTTTTTTTTCCAGACATGTTTCACACAGTCAGTATGAGTACAGAAGCTCACCTGTCTGCCCTGCAGCCAGACGTATTTCAGCTCATCATAAACACTTCCGTCCCTCCCAATGCAAGTGAAGAAGCCTCTGAAACAAGAAGCAAAGAGATTCATGCAAAGGATATAGTCTCTATGGATGCTATAATGAATGTACGCTCCAGTGTGACTGCATACCCGTGTACTGTGTCATGGGAGTATTTAAGCCAGAAGTCCACTACATTGTCCAGCTGTGAACGAATTCGCTCTCGACACTCCTCCAGCTTCACCACAGACATTGTTCCTTTCATGAAAAACACGAAAATCAGTTGCAGAATTGTTGAATGCTGACTTTAAAAGTGTATTTTAAACTGAATTTGTGCTCTCAAAGTTGGGGACTGAGAACAAAAGTCTCAAAAATGTAAACAGGTTGGAAAAATGTCCTCAGAAAATCTTATTGACGGCTTTTTAGTTGTGGATAACTTGCAGTAGCTGTATTAGCTTCAGATCTTCCTCAAGTCATCTAACGCTCTGGCTGATATTAGGTCACACAACACTTTGCATAAGTATAGGCAAATTCTGACTGTTTGCTTTGGGTTTTAAAGGTCTAACACACATCACTGCCTTTCAGCTCACACATTGTTTTCTTTGTGTGGATCATGTGCAACTTTTTACTATGCTGTGCAGTTAACTTTGACAACTTTCACAAGCGTTAACAAGCTCACACAGACACACGTCATCTTTTTTTCAGTGCATCATCAAATTTTCAGTTTCAGTTACGAGATGTTTGTGCTGTTGCTTTGAAACAGTCGGTTTTAGGGGCTTAATGTGTATGTGTGACAGAACTGTGACTGTTAAAGTTCCTCTTTATGGCCTCAGACACAAGATGCTGTCATGGTGCAACATTAGACTGTCTCAGCATATATGATTTCTGAATTAGTTTCCCATTTCCATGCACCCACTGAAAATAAAACCACAGCTTTGCAGGAAAAACTGAACCAACTCAGCTCCAGCTTTTCATCTGCATCAGCACAAATGCCTAAACTCCTACATGACATTTTGATTTTTATTTTATTTTAAAGTTGGCTCCTTAATACTCCCACAAATTTATTTTAAAAAGATAAATAAACAACAGATTAGATTTTCGGTTGCAAACTAGCTTTATCTGGATTTTTAAATCTGACCAAGTATTAAAGATTTCTTCTTCCGCTTCCAAACAGAGACATCGCTCCTTTTTTTTTTTTAATTACAAAGCGTAACGGTGCTCTTACTGTTCATGTCGCTTCAGCAGCATCGAGGCCGAAACGTCAAATCCGAGGTGTTTTTTTTTAAATTTTTTATTACCTGCAGCTTCAGGAGCTCTCCTGCCAGCGCGATCATGTGAGCTCGTTGATCACGTGATGCGAGCCGGAACCGGAAGTGTCTTCTTCGCTGCGCCCTTCCCCGGATGTTCAGATGAATCCGAGATCGTATGTTTTTTTTTTTTTTTGACTATTATTATTACTTCTTTATTCTTTAAGTACATACTGCAGTTGCCCCAATAAAGTATGAACTGTTGTATCCAGTAAAATAAAAACAATTGGGTCTTACTATTTTGTCATAATGCTGCGCTTTAAACACCTGCTGGCAGTTCTCACAGACAGTTGCATTAATACTGAACTTTTCTCGTAGCTTTGGCGTATAAGGTCTTTTTAAAAAAAACAAGTTTATATGCCGGATTTCACTATAAGTTTACTTTTTTAATGTTGTAAATAAAAAAAACAGCTGGAAGACTGATAGACATTGTAATCTTGCTGTTCTTGTTACTTGTTCTTTACTGTATTAAGTTATTAATTTTGAAATATTGGGAAATTGTCAAGTGTTTGCGATTAATTTACTTTGTACACACATAAAATCTTCCAGGCCACTTCTGAAAACAGTTACCGAAAAGTATATATGTATGTAATATGCATTATAATAAATTATATACACAGTGCTTAACAAATTTATTAGACCACCTGTCTAATCTGTTAAGGGCTGTGTACCATCCAGCATCATGAAGTCATTTAATTCGCACTCACCTCTTCATGTTTTCAGATTTTGAACAGGATGAGGAATTTCAAACTGAATTCACCTTTTTTTATTCCCAAATCTGAGCCACTCAGAAATGAATCAAACATAACATTCAACCACTAAAACTAGTTCTTCTGTTCAGGAATGCAAGTGAACAAATATAATTTGACATCTTAGTCAAGAAATAATATTAATGTGCTTTATTTTTTTTCTGTTTTTTTTTTTTTTTTTACTTATTTATTTGTTTTTTTTTTTTTTTTTTTTTTTTTTTTTTTTTGGTAAAACAGTAAATTTGAAAATGTATTGATAACAGTAATAATTCTATTTTAGCATTAAAAATATCATTTTGGTTAAAGAGCTTCTACATACTGGTGTATTAGTCATTACAGAAACATAAGAAATGATTTAGGCAATTACCAGTGCTGTTAATTTAGGACAGCTGTGTCATAAACCTGACATTGGTGGTCTAATCATTTGCTAAGCGCTGTTTGTTAAGCACCTCACAGCTAGAGAGTACTGTGTTCGCCTCTACTCCCCATGTATGGGTTTCCTCTCACAGTCCAAAGACCTGCTTAGGTTATGGTTCTTTGGTGGTTCTAAATTACCTGTGACCATGCATGTCTGTCTGTCTGTTTTGGCCCTGTGATGACCTCTGACCTCAGTTGTACCCAGCCTTCATCCTAAGACAGCTGGGATATGCTTGTCTTGAGTTTCCAGTGACTCCTCTATGAAGGAGTCCCTGAAACCCATCCGTCTTTGTCACACACATGAAAAAAGAAGCAGTTTCAAGAATTTTGGTTCTTTCATAGACTTATTGATCTTCTGGATATATAAAGCTTCACCAGCATCTTTGATAACATTTACTAAAAAAAAAAAAAAAGTACTTCTTCACTGGCATCTTTTTCTGTTTCTCCGTCCAGTTTCTTCAGCGTTTCCAATAATTCCACCTGCAACTGTGATGGTTGCTCCTTCCTCTTCACTGACTTGATGTGGCTGATAGTGGGGGTGAGGGTCAACCATACAGTCCACATGATGAAGAGAGGCTGTGGGGATGCTGAGGGCAACAATGGTAAGAAAGTAGACACAGGGAGGCTCCCTGAGCAGAGAAGGCCTCCTTGGCCTTGTCCAGCAGGAGGACCAACAGCCCAGCAGTGAAAACATAGATGTAAAATACTGCAAATCCGGTGAATTCAGTGATTAGTGATATGATACAACATATTTAATTATTAAGCAACTCAAAATGCTTTCAATCACTAAACTTCTTCGCTTGTTTTCCCGCGCATGCGTAGGCCGCGCCGCTCGGACCCTCGCGGTCTTGGCCGGACGACGACCCTGACGTCATTGTCACCCCGAGCAGCTGAGCAGCGCGAGCCTGCGTGTGCAGAGCACCGTCTGGCAGAGGAGAGCAGCCGCAGCGCGAGTCTCATGTCATCACTGGACTTGATGAAAAAGGAGTGTTTCGCATCTGGGACCCTGTCCTCGGCTTCTTTCAAAAGAAGATTCATAAAGAAGAGGAGGGTCGCTCCGAAGGCGGCGCAGGATGCGGACAGCGAGTGTCAGCTGTGCAGGTGGGACACGAAACTGTCAGAAAGTTGGTAGTTAGTCTGTGGTTGAGTTTACATTGGTCTCAACGATAATGAAGGGAGGAGGGAACAGTGATACAACACATAGGCCTAAATACAGTGAGATTCATTGCAAATGTAGACTGCTTTTTTTATTTTTTTTAATTTGCAGATTTTTTTTTCTTAAGTGCGCATGTCGTTTGCGCATCTCATATTACAGAAAACAGATTATCACCTTGTTAAACTGTATTTTTAATCATGCATCAAGAATCCTGAACAGGGTGGGAAAAGGTTTTTCTTCGGAATGTATCATTCAGAGATGCAAACAGATGGTTTTCATGAACAGTTTGTATACGGTGCTTAATGAATGTATCAGACCACCACCCAATGTCAGGTTTATACCACAGCTGCCCTAAATTAACAGCATTAGTAATTATCAAAATCATTTCTAATGTTTCTGTAGTGGTTAATGCACCAGTGTGTAGAATCTCTTTAACCAAAATGATATTTTTAAATGCTAAAATATAATTATTATTATTATCCATGAATTTTCTAATTTACTGTTTTACAAAAAAAACCCAAAGAACAGTAAAAGACATTATTATTTCTTGATTAAGATGTCAGATTATAGTTATTTACTTGCATTCCTGAACAGAAAAATGAATTTTAGTGGTTGAATGCGATGCTTGATTCATTTCTGACTTCTCAGAGAAGCCCAGTGAGCCGGTGGTGAAACGTGGACAGCTGAGTGTGAATTAAAGCACTTCATGCTGCTGAATGGTCTAAATATATATATTAACAAATTACACATACATTTGTTAAGCACTCTCTCTCTCTATATATATATATATTATAAAAAGCATTCTGTCTGTTTTACGTTATACTATTATGACGCGCAGCCACACATGGTTCAGAGAGTATCACTAGTGGACTTCTCTGATACACATCTGTTGTTAAGGTTTGTTCAAAGATGAGGCCTTTCATGACAGCTACATTTTTTTCATATTTCCACTCACCTGTTGTCAGACTATTTGAACTTTGTGTCCACTGTTGTAGATTTCCAACCAATTGCATGAAGATAAATAGTGACATTTAATTAGGCATATGTCTTTAATAGTTTCTGAGATATTGTAGTTTAAATCTAAATGGTGAATCGGTACTCCTGTGCTCGTAGATTGGAAGGTAGCGAGGAGAAAGCAAAGAAAATCTTATCTAGCTCGAAGGAAGGGGTTTTGCGAGGAGGCAGTTGAGAGACCAAAATTGAGCTTTTTGGCCGCCAGAGCAAACATGATTTCTAACTATGTTAACTATCATCACAAACGCACCATCCCCACCATGGCAGCAGGCCCGGCAAGGCTTGTAAAGGCATGTGAGGTGTGTGCAGCAAAGTATAAGGAGGACAACCTAAAGCAGTCTGCAAGAGAACTGCAAGTTGGAGGAAAAAAGGTTTTCTAGCAAGACATGGACCCAAAATATACAGTCAAAGCTACACAGAAATGTTTTAAAGACAACTGGGTGACTGGTCTGGAGTAGCCAAGTCGGAGCAAGAACCTCAAACCAACTGAGAATTTGTGGCTGGCCTTATAAAGCACTGTTTGCTCATGATCAGTGAGCAATTTTGCAAAGAAGAGTTGTGTAAAAATGAAGTGTCCAGCTGTACAAGGCTGACTGAGGCCTTATTCACACAGTCAGAAGGTGCATCGACGAAATACTGACTTGAAGGAGGTGATTACGTTTGACTGTGTAAGAAATCAGTTTTCACTTTGACATGAAAGAGTCTTTTTTTTGGTAAATTCTTGTAAAAAAAACCAAATCAAAGCATGATTCAGTGTTGAAAAGCTGCTAGAGGAGAAAATGTCTAAGGGACACTTTTTATAGCCACTGTTTACATCACACCAGTCCTTAGTGGCTCTTTGTGCACCAAACACATCAAAGTAAGAACACATGAGATGGGAGAGGTCAAGGAGCCGGCTTGGACCTCGTGTGGAAATCAAGCATTTCAAAATCAATATCCTTTATTTCACCAGGTAAAAAACTCACTGAGATTTAAAACCTCTTTTTCAAGAGTGACCAGGCCAAGACGGCAAAACAGATTTCAGCAAACACACAAAACACAAATAAAATAGAGTCACAATTTCACACACTTCAGAAAAACAAGAGCGGGACACCATGATTACAGTGCAGTCACAAGATCTTTTATAACTGTCTTGAAATTCCCTAGAGATTGTGTCCACTTCAAGAGCTGATGCGAACCGAATCTGTAGAATAAGCAGCACCATTGAGTAAAAAATAATAAGAAATGTAGACATTACATTAAGTTCAATACAAATTTAAAGACACAAGACAAAAACATTTTTAAAAATCAACTGATCTTGATCATTATTATTTTTATTGATTAAATAAATATCATTGTTATTTCATTGCTGACTGATTCTTGTATCACTTAATATTTCAAGTAGATATATTTGAGGACACGTGTTTTTTTTTTTAATACTATAATGCTGGTCTGAGATGTGCAGTTTTAACTTAACACTGTGCATAAAGTGGTTTAAAGCATGCTCAACCCTCAAGCTTCACCGGTTGCATCCCTGTGTTGCAGGTATTCCATACTTTCCCTGACTGGCAATAGTCGAACCGTTCGTCGAATCCTGACCGCCTGCCTCCTCTCCTTCCTGGCTCTGCTCGGCTCCGTTTCCTTCGACCTCAGCTCCAACTTCGACGTGCTGCACGCCACAGAGGCGGCTTACAACGAGCTGACTTCGTGCAGGACGGCTGCTTTCCTGCAACTCGTCAGTAAGCTTCAGAAGATGAGGCACCTGTTCAACAAGGACGTGGAGAACGAGACGTTGGAGGCGAGCTTTTCGGAGATTGTGTTGCCCGTCTTCGACCGTCTCTGCGATGAAATGGCGGGTCACAGTGACGGCCACGGGATTAATTGCAGCGTTGAGTTGTCTGGATTTTGCAATCAGGTATTTTTAAATGCTTCACTGGATACAAGTGAAAATGATACCTCTGCTTTCTCTCTGGCCATCGGAAGACTTCTGGACATCTGGGGAACAATAGAAGATAGTTTAGTCAAAGTCAAGCAGAACTCTTACTGGAGAGACGTCCTGTCTGCACGACTTCTGGTGACATTCATAGAGCTCAACCACCAGCTGCAGGACTTCCGCCACATGGCAGCTCTTACTGGCTTCCAGTACAAGTGGACGTACATACTGAGCTACCTCAGCTTTGCCAGGCTCATGACGGAGCGTTTGAACGATTGCTGGCTAGAAAATATAGACCTTAAGTTAAACTCAAGCTTGGATGTTCAACATTCTTCTATTTTAGACACGAGTCAGTGGCAGATTTCTGGAGCTGGGGCTGAGCTTCTGTCTGGTTCTCACAGAGGAATCGAAGCTCTGACAAACACCCAGCAGTGCTTGTTTGATCGCGCCGTGCTGGCCCTCAGGTTGGCGTCTCGATCCATATCTTCAGTCCTCAGCATGAGGATCTGCCTGCTGGCCTTGGCGTGCCTCATCTACCCCGTGGTGATGTTCTCGTTCAAGCAGATGACGGAGTGGATACAGAACTACACCCAGAGCTTGAAGGAGAAGACTGAGGACCTGAGGCGCCAGAGGCAGCTTGCTGAAGATCTGCTGCACCAAATGCTGCCCAAGTCTGTCGCCAAGCAGCTCCGCCAGCGCAAACACGTTGAAGCTGAGAGCTACGAAAAGGTTAGTGCAAAGGGAGTAGTCGTTCATCATGGACAGGTAACACACTTTAAACAATGACAGTGATCAAACCCTTTGTAGACCTGCTGACTTGTCATTGGTATCGGTGCTGGTTCTTGCCTTGATAAATAAGGCAGCTACTTTGGAAACATAACATTTTTACTGGAATCTGTTTCAGATTACATCCTAGATGAGAAACTGGTTACACAATTGAAGAATAATTTTTTCATTTTGTATTGCTATAGTTTTTTAAAAGACAGTAAAAGTACTTTGCTCATAATTTAGCTTACTGCTGTCAAGCTTCAGTGATCCTTTCAAAAGTAAACTATCGTAGGAACAACAGCGCTTTAGAGGTGTAGTATGTCTTTGTAATGCTATTCTACCTAACATTAGCTTGAGGCAATACAACACAACCTCTCAGGAACCATCCATCATCTGTACACCGCTTCATCCTCACTAGGGGGGCTGGAGTCTATCCCAGCTGACTCAGGGTGAAGGCAGGTTCACCTGGACAGGTCACCAGTCTATCACAGGGCTACACTTAGAGACAGACAACAAGCACACTCACATTCACACCTACGGACAATTTAGAATCACCAATTAACCTCAACATGTTTCTGGACTGTGGGAGGAAGCCGGAGAACCCGGAGAGAACCCACGCAGGCAACGGGGCTAAACCACCGATCCACCTTGTAGCCCCTCTCAGGAACCCTAAATTCAAAAACGATAAATGATTGTGGCTGTGTCTTGGGTAAAACATGACACATCAATTTATTTCCGCATTTAGAGGATCATTCATTGTTTCTGTTAAACTACCAGCTGATTGTCATGGAGACAAGGGCAGCAGTCTGTGCCCAACAAAAAACAATAACTTTAACTAAAAGATTACTGGTGGATGTGTCAACACCAATTGCACGAAGAAGGGATTGCAGGCATAAGTAATTGTTTAAAAAAAAAACAACTGCAACACGTAGGTAAAGCACAGAAACGTTACAGAGGTGCAGAAGTAAAGATGACAATGTACTTGGGACACCATGTCAAACTTACAGGATTCAAGGAAACTAGTAAAAACAGACAAACTTGTTAAAGGCAGCTCTATCCTTTCTCCTCCAGGCTCCTCCCCATTCACATATAACTTCGAACCTTAACAGATCCAGAGCTTGTAGCGCCGCGTGACAACCAAGAGGAGTTTACCTGTGCAAGATGTGCGAACCCGCTGAATGAATGTGTGTGTGCGCTCTGCCTTTGTTGCTATTGTCAGCGTAATTACCTGTAATTGCCCTGTTCCATATTCATCGGGAGATAAAACAAGTTGTGTGGATGATAATTGCGTCTGGCTTATTGAAGAGGTTTGATGCAGCTGTACCCAAAGCCCCTTCGCGCGAGGGTGGAGGGAGCCGTCACTGAATAGGTAGCGCACTCGGTTTCAAAAATGGTTTGGACGTCTGTATTCTAGAGGGAAAATTGAAGACTCTTTGTCACGTCGCCTCCGACTAGACTAAAGAAAAGAAAAGCACGATCTACTGGACGCCCAGAAAAGACCGCCCTGATGCTGCTGTAACAACTGGCTGGTGAGAGGAGAAATCCCAAGTGTCTTTAAGTTTAGCTGCACTAAACAGACACAGAAAAATCCCATTATAACATATGCAGATTACTGAGCTGGATGATAAAGATAAGATGATGAGGGATACTTGAGACCGGGTAATTCATGTATGTGTGTTTTACATCTAAGTTCTGTTGACCTCAAACTCAAAATTGTCCATATTTTCACTTACGTCCTGCTCAGGCTGTCGTGTCTTTATTTATTTCAGAGAACACACTGAACGACAACTCGTTTTTAATGGTTCCCAGACACATACAATAAATACAGACGCACTTAAAATCAAATAGCAAGTGGCTTTATCAGGAAAAAAAACAGTAGCGGGAAGAGACAATGGGGAAGCTTTTGTCATAAAGGTTACTAAATGAATTAAAACAAATGCTCCTCAGTCACAGGAAAGCAAACATTCTCCAGTGATGAATCTTCAGTTTAAATGTTGGAGGGTGGAACTGACTGCCCATCTATAATGACATCGCTAAACAGAGGAACGCTGATTCAACAATCCTTTTACTCTTAAACAAAGGAAGATCTGTCTTATTTCTAACAATAAAAAGCCCACTTTCTGCTTTGATAGCAGCTTGTCAATATGGACTTTGTCTTTGCACCGTTTCAGACCAGTTTCACATTATAGAGGGTTTTTTTTTTAAAGCATGATAAAGGATAATTGTAGATGTGGAGCAACTTCAGTGGAGTCTGTGCCAAAATAAAGGTCATTAAATGTAAAGATGGACATTACATTTGTTAAATCAAAGGTAATGTTTAGATAAATATTCAAATAGTGACAAAATCATGTGGAGATTGGTACGACTCGAGACTGGTGAATTCAGATTTGCCGCCATCTTCATGAGGAGGAAGAACAAAGGTGGTGTTCTAAACTGTGGGAATGACTTTTGGTCCCTGGATTGAGTTAATACTTGAACACAACGGTTGTCTGCTGTCAACGCACGCCTAAGGAGCTGTAAGGCCTGGCACGCTGCAGATATGTTGCAAAGAGGAGCACATGACTACTAAAATTAGACATAATTTGCTCACGAGTTAATGAATACCATGAAGATCCTTTTGGACGATACCAACACGAGCTACTTGAGATAGCTTTGCAAATTGCGCTCTAAAAAAAATGTAGGCAATCTCGGTTTAGTCAGGGCATAACAAGGGATATTTGCAATGATATGCAAATATTGGCATTAACATTTGATCTTAATTAAGCTTCATTTAATGCACCATGAATGCACCATGAGTCTCCTCAGCAAAAAAAACAAAACGTGTCCCAGCCGTCACTGTATAGTACCCCATAGAAACATTTCTGTTGTGGTGTGTGCTGCAGTATTTTAGTTCTGTTTTCTGTATTTGCAGCTTCAACTTATAGTGATTTAAGTGGATGTAATTCACGCCGCCGTTAAATTCTGTTTTGTTGCCGATTTTCACTGATAAAAACGTTTAAACAAAACGACACATTCTGTCCTTCAGGAGGTTGGGATTTATTTTCTGAGTGCATGTTTGCTCAGTTTTAACTCATAATTCTGCGAACTGACGGAGCCACTTCTCTCCGTTTTGTTTAAGGTCACCATTTTTTTCTCAGACATCGTGGGCTTCACGTCTATTTCTGCGTCTTGTACTCCTCTCCAAGTGGTGGAAATGCTCAACAACCTCTACATGTGTTTTGACACGCGCATTGACTCCTATGACGTCTACAAGGTAACACGCGCATACATAAAGAAAACTTTTAAAGTCAGTACTTCTGTCGTTTAATGTTTTGGAAAACATCCTGGCTTTCCCTCAGAGAGTCCTGGCAACCTCAGTTTGACAACAGGACCGGCTGCACGTGTAGGCTTTGAGGTTATAGATTCGGGGAATGTACATGTTTGCACCTTTGAGGAAACCTAATGTTGGTGGCTAGTATGCTATAATCAAAGTGTGTCCTCCATGATATAAGTGCATGTTGGAGCTACGATGCCAGCTACCATGTGGGAACTGTTTAAACTGCAATGGGTGCACAAGCATTCAAATCTGACCGAGCTGAAAAGTATCAGGGATCACAGTAGGATTCTTAAAACAAGGGCATTATCTATACACCGCTTCATCCTCACTAGGGTCATGGGGGGGCTGGAGTCTATCCCAGCTGACTCAGGGTGAAGGCAGGTTCACCTGGACAGGTCACCAGTCTATCACAGGGCTACACTTAGAGACAGACAACCAAGCACACTCACATTCACACCTACGGACAATTTAGAATCACCAATTAACCTCAACATGTTTTTGGACTGTGTTGGAGGAAGCCGGAGAACCCGGAGAGAACCCACGCTGCACGGGGAGAACATGGAACTCCATGCAGAAAGACCTTCTTACTGCGAGGCAACAGTGCTAACCAACTGCGCCACCTTGCAGGGCTTTATTTACCTGAAAAAAATTAAAACAAGCAGTGAAGTTCTGATCCCATAACAGAGGTCAAATGAGCTGAACTAAACCCAGGAAATGATAATTAGAAGGGGACAGTTCCATACAGAGGGGGTCAGTCAAAACACTTACTCCCAGCTCACTACAACAGAAACAGAACAGTACAGTTGGGCTGCGAGTTACAAACTTAAGGCATTCATCAAATATCTAAATACATGCCTCAAGTTAAATGAAGTTCTTAGATAATCCCAGCTCCTCTCCTATCGTGGCAGACACTTGGTTCTTTCTGGGATGTCGGTATGGATGCATCTTTGGCCCAATCTCATCCAAATGACTGCAGCAGCAGAAGCACAAACAATTAGTACAAGTTAAGAGAACTTGATTTAACATTGTGGTAATTAATCAAATGTTAACTGAATGTGCTCGGTAAAGAAAAGCAACAACAAATTCAAAATAAACCACAAGTATTTTGTACAAAATGAAGGATTATGGGTCAGTTAGAAGAAGAAGAAGCAGCTTTATTGTCATTGTACAAGAAATACAATGAAGTTTCATTTGAATTTTAATGTCATTAGTTAAAATACATGGTGTGTTTTTTCATAACTGGTACTTAGACTAAGATCTGACTTTATTGTAAAGCAAATTTCTTAATTGTAAAGAGTTATAAAAATGAGATTTTGTCCATTTTTAATCGGCTTAAGCATTGAGACGAACACAATGAGCCACTAAAACAGACCAACTTAAATATATTAAATGAATTATTATAATGTTGCCCAGACTGTCCAAGAAATTATAGCTTCACTGCCGTTTTGTTTGCTTTCAAGTGTTGAACTGGAAAAATGTGAAAGCTGTTCTAAAACCACTAGATTTAAAGTCACCATTCAAACACAATGTGCAATCATAGTGTACGTTATTTCTGTTGCATTCAATTTGTTAGAGCTGCAGTTGAGAGTTTCCATAACAGGTTCAGTTATTTAATCTCAAATGCGCATTTCTGATTAGTAAACATGGATGGCTGGAGATTTTCAGGTGTCACTCTGGTATGGTGTTGAGCATAAGAAGAATTACTGTACATCTTGCCATTTATCAAAGTAATTCCCCTCATTGGTTCGTATGTCTCCAGAGAAGTGATTCAGTTGTGAAGTGTGCTTGAGCCAAATTTGATTGAACTGTCAAACTCAGGTCGAGACGATCGGAGACGCGTACATGGTGGTGAGCGGTCTGCCTGAGAGGAACGGCGACAGACATGCGGACGAGATTGCCAAAATGGCGCTGGATCTGGTGGCGGCCGTCAGACAGGTCTCCATCCCCCACATGCCCGACGAGAGGCTGGAGCTCCGAGCCGGCATCCACACAGGTGAGAGAAGCCGACTGCTGTGTGAACAGATAAATGCACGCAGATCGATACGAATGGGAACCGGTGCGTTGACTCAGTGGGACCGTGGTCTGGTGCTTTGCAGTTGGTACCATCCAACACTTTGTTGACGGGCAAGGGGATGTGTCAAACTATTATCAAAAGCATAGAAAAGCAGCATCTTGGGGGTGCTCTGAGCTAAATCACATAATCACGTGGAGAAACTGATCCCTATTTTAGGTTTTGGATGGAGGGACTGTTGGAGATCTTTAAGTGCGCCCGCTAGTTTAGCCAAGTACATACAGGGAATTTGGCTCCAATGTTATTCTTTCTGTTCACTGTACACTGATTTAAATACATACATTAATTGGAGATAGTTCAACTATTTTCTACATACTTGACTTTAAGCAGCATTGTGATGTTGCTCTACATATTACTCTTGACATTTAGTTTGGTTTATTGGCCTGAAGTAGCTGCTGAATGTACGTCACAGCTGCTTGGGCTGTTTTTTGTTGTTTTTTTTGGCACTTCTATGAATATATAACCATCTGTGGTGACATGTTTGGAGCAAATTTGTGTTCTTAGAGTCTCTTGATTTTTTTTGTGAATGTGGAAGAAAATTGCAAAAACTTTGGTAAAGTCCTCAGTTTTCCATCTATCTCCACCATCAGGTCCAATTAATCTCGACATTAATTTAAGATCAAACACCTGCAGAACTACCAACATCCCCGTCAGCCTCAGCTGCACTTTTATTTCCTGCTTGTGAGTCAGCTACACGTGCAAATACAGTGAGATGGCAATAATACATTACCTAAATGAGAAACACAGTTGGTGCACAGATCCAACCACCACTGAAGTGCAGCCTCACCGAGCCAACAGCAAAGCCATGCACTTCGTTTTCTATTTCTGTTTATATGTAAGTCCTTTCTACTAGTAAGGCTTTAAATATAACATCGTAATCAGAATGTAGTTCCTACTTTCTTGCTTTGTGTGCTGATTGTTTACTTTAACGATTCCAGTTTCTTGCACAGTGAAGCTCTTTCTCTCCTGCTTCACAGGTCCGTGTGTGGCAGGAATCGTGGGCTACAAGATGCCCAGATACTGTCTGTTCGGAGATACTGTCAACACGGCCTCTCGGATGGAGTCCACCAGCCTGCGTATGTGCACCTGGACTCAGAACACATGAGCAGACACCTCTCACAAACACTGGAATTAAGCTTAGACTAGACCTTTAAGCGTTTTCATTCATGATCATATAAGTTTAGTGAATATCCCAAGAATTTATATTTTGTCGTTGTAGATTTGTTACAGAATGTTTGTCGTTTCCATGTGATAGGAAACAGAATGTAGGGCTGAAGGAATGGTCGGCCTCACACTGGGAGCAGTCGTAAAAACAGCACAAAAGGATGCGTTTTCAGAAGACAGCGTTCGTTGCTTCGTTTTCTTGTACTCATTTATGTTATATTAGCCTACTTCACACTGATATGTGATGACTTTTTAAGTGCCTCTGGCCTTGGAGAAGATTCCTACACTGCCATAGAAGGATTTCAAATGTCTGCCATGTGATATTACGCAAAAAAGACAACGTGGCAGACAACATGCAATTCTACACTCTATACACATACAGGCTTTGATGCATTTTTTTTTTAAGTTTGTTGCAGAAAAATCTCAGACAAATGCACATTTAGAAACAGTGCTACGATCTGTCCTTGGGTTTTACACTGTTCATGATGATTTTTTGTGTTGCAGCTCAGAGAATCCACGCCAGTTCAGAAACCTATTTGGCTCTGATCAAAGACAACGCCTACGAGCTGCAGCTTCGCGGGGAGATAGAGGTGAAGGTAAAAGATCTCAGTTGTGCCATAATATTCATTTTTTTTTGTCATTTTTGATTTGATATTTTATGTTAATGACTGATTGATTTAATATGTTGTTTCATATTGTAAATAGCACATTTTAGGGGTCTTTTGGTCAAAATCTATACACAATAAATGCACTGTCAGAATGCTGGTTACTACGGAGCCCCTCTGGTGACATCGATAAGAAATGAAAAACAACTCGTTCCCAGAGTAAATCGTGGCCACGAGTTGTTAATGCATGGGAACAACATGGTTAAACTGTGGCCTCTGATTACTAATATGAAGAAACAAGAGAAGTTGTGGAGCACATTTCACAGTGCGGTCACACCAGCTGTCGATTAAGGGTAACGGGCGTACTTGCATGAAACATGGAGCATTTTGATTTGATTTCATTTTATTTTAACCTTGGAATGAACTCCACCGATATCCTGCGATGAAACACTGTGTGATAATTATGTCGTTCCCACGTATTAATAACTCGTGGCCACGATTTACTAATGCGTGGGAACGAGTTATTTTTATTTCTCATCGATGTCACCAGACGGGCTCCGTAGGTTACAAGCGATTTTATGGAACATTTTAGCTCCGTTTGCAAATTTGTTGCATAAAAAAAGACCAGTTTCTTGCATAATGTACTCGCATGTCCATAAAGAAAATGTGTTTATTATTGTTTTATTAGAAATATGGAGCAACAATTACAAATTACACCTATAAAACAGATAAATAACACATCACTGGCTGGTTTAGAAGTGCTGATAAGATCTACGGAGTGACACAAGATTACAACTATTTAATAATGAATGTCTTGCAAAAGTGCATGTAGGATTTTTCACCAACAGTAATATCTCTGATAGACTGATTAGACTCTGCTACTCTCTGCTAGGGCAAAGGCAAAATGAACACTTACTGGCTGGTCGGACACAAAAACTACAGCGTGCAGAATGACAGTCTGGTTTGCCACTGGAATCCAAACAAGAACAGAAAGAAGAAGGTGGTGGCAGACAGCCAGGTCTCTGTGGACAACGTGAGTTAAATTCAGTCCGGTTTGAGTTTTAGTTTTGCACGTTTGTCATTCGAAGAGACACTTTTGTGCCTGTCCTGTAGCTGTCATCTTACATAGTTAAGTATTGTTGATAAAATGTACATTGCGCTTTGAACAACCCACTTTCTGCCTATTTGGTTATTGCTTACCTGCATTAAAACCAGAAAGTTTTTATTTATTTATTTGTTTTAGATATAGTTACGTTGTTTTAAATCTCCTCGTAATTCTGTAAGCTTATCCTGATGGTTATTTATGTGCTTTGTGTTCATGACTTGCAAACAAAAAACCTGTTGGGTTCGTTTACACATGTACGTTTTGATGCTGTGTTCATAAATGTTGCGGTAATCAGCAGCTTCTGACTTGTAAATGTGTGTGTTCACGTCGAGTCAACAATCACTGGGAAACTTATCCTGAAAGCTCTGATAACACTCGGCGTGCAATCAAGCAAAGGTGCCTCAGAGTAAACAAATTATAAGTTAATTGGATTTGGTGCAATATCGTCAGTAGTGAATATCGTAAACGTAGGAGTCTTTATTAAAAATCCACTCACTGTGATGCCAACACAGTATTGATGTTGTTCTTTTCTTTGCTGTGTTCTGCACAGAAAGTCGTGTATAGTGCACACAGGACAGCTCTGAGATTGAATATCAGTTTGCACACTTGCAAGTAGGAAGCTGAATTTTGTGCCAACACTGAAGGTTTAGCTTCTAAAATGTCAAAAGTTGGAAACTGAGCATCTTATTGTCCTTTCAAGCTTACCTCTTGTGATATATCTGCATTTACTGGAGCCCAGTCATGCCAGCTTTTGAACTTATTTGTTTTAGGAAGAATGTTAGAGACACCAGATGTCGTGGTTATCTCCTTATTGACTCGCGACATATGTTAAAAACACAGGGATGCCCGAATCAAACTTCTTCTCGCTCTCTTCTGATACCTTAAGTTAGGTTTTCTGCCTGCACTGGTGCCTCTTTTTTCCTCTTTTTAAAAATGAGTTCGGTCTATTATTGCAGGGAACTTATGGGGAGCATTTTCATGGAAGGTAACGCGAAGACAAGCATTCAAAAAGACACCGAAAACTACTTACATTTCTGAAACACGTAAATTAATTTAATGACACTGACAGCTCACAGGTGATGTGAATCTTTCGTGTTATAGCGCATAGACAATACACTGGAGGTGCTCAGCCAGTCTGGTGTGATGAATCGGTGAACAAAAGATGTAGAAAAGTCAACTGTTGTCTCGAAGACTTTCTGCACCACTTTACATAGTTTTGCTAACTTTAAAAGACTCTCCATGCTTTGCTGTTACTTTGTTCTCTGTCCCCACATGTTTTTTGTCCACAGTTTATTAATTGATAAGTGGAATACACTATGATGCTTTGTACAGGTTGGATAGTTTTTTTAAAAAAATGCAAAATAGAAGCAAAGGGGCAGATAACAGAAAACAAAACGAGACGTAGGAACAAAGGTGAAATGTGGGACATACTGACAAAACAATGGCAGGTTTGCTGTAAATACACAATGACTGATAAGGAACTGGGGGAGGTGGGCAAGACTGAAGCAGAAAGAGGGTCATTAGGACATCTGGTGGTGAGATAGTGGAACTGACATGCACATAATCTGCTGCCTTCATATTCTCAACATTCATTTCACCTCAGTTGAGTTTTTATTTATGAAGCATCAAACTAAACATTTGTCATCCCGAGGCACTTCATATAGTGAACTGAAGAGCTCACAAAATGTATACAAATAAACCCCCCCCAAAAATATGCAAAGTTTTTTTTTTTGATTCCTTTTAAACGTAACATTTGGAAACAGTGTGGAGAAAAGACTCCCCTTTACCTGGAAGGGAAAACTTCAGGCAGAACCAGTCTCAGGGAGGTCAGCCATCTGCCGAGACCGGTTGAGGTTATGGCAACGTGAAGAGAGAGAAAGATAGCAGATGGAGAACAATAAATGCTTTGGAGGTTGGTGAGGCCAGTAACTGCACATCAGGAAACCTTTCACTTCAGAGCCAGAGATACCTGCAGAGAAACACAAAGTTAGTGACATACAGTGGTGGCACAGACTTGAATGCATGGTGAAGAAAAAGAAGAGTCTAGGGCCTATAGCAGCCTAACTTCAGGGTCACCTGAGCAGCCCTGGCTGTGAGTTTTTTCAAAGAAGAAAGCTACCTTAAAAGTAGAGAACCCAAGCTGGGAGCTGGTTTCACAGTAGCTGAAGATTCTGCCTCCCATTCTACTTGTAAACACTCGAGGAACCCAAAGTATTCTGATAAGAAGGAATTACAACAGTCCAGCCGAGAAGTTACAAATGTATGGGCTAGTTTTTTAGCATCATTCTGAGATGTTCTGAATTATTACAAGTATTGTCCACATAAAAGAAGGCCGACCTACAGACTTGCTTTATGTGTGAGTTAAAGGGTCAAACGTGACTTCAGTATTTCTCAAAGTAGAACTGGAGGCCGAGGCAATGTCATCCAGAGCAGCTCTCTGGTCTGTGTTTCTGAAGTCCAAATACAAAAACTACTTTATGTTTCAAGTTTGACCAACTGATTTGTTTAATCTGGCTTCATGAATAAATAGAAGTGGGTGTCATCTGCATAGCAATGAGAGTTTATGCAGTGTTTCCTACAAATATTGCTCAAGGCGAGCATGTACAGCCCGAAGAGTATCGGTCCGAACACAGAACCCTGTGGAACTCCGTTACTAACTCTGGAAGGTGTGTTGAAGAATCGTGAACAAACTGGAATTCATCTGATGAATATCATTTAAACCAGCCCAGCGCGGTTTCATTGTTCCTGATGACACGGATTTCAGATTTGGACTGCCGCCAGCAAAATATCACATAAGTGTAATTTAAGTTCAATTGTTGTGTATTGTACATGGAGAAATAGGAAAATGTACTTTATGTTATCAGTGTCTACAATATCTATTAATGACGAATGTACCTTCCACGTGTAGCTGTGTGCCAATCATCAGTGACAATTTCTCATGTCTATTTTCTTTCTTAACTGTTAGCCTTAAGCCTTAACCTGTCCTTAAGCTGACGTGATTCGACATTTATATTGTTCCTGCACTCTTTTCCCAGGAATATGTGTCGATCAGTTTGTAGATTTCATACGTATTCTGTCTTCTTTTTTTTTTTTTGTTGCTGTAAAACATTGTCTTATGCATTCCAATCTGTAAATATTCACATTTTTGTCCTTCACACAGTCATGAATACTGCATTTGTACGTGTGAGCATTTCTACACCAACATGAAAGAGATGTAGCCTCTCATACGCATAGCACGAAATGTGTCAGATGTCATGTCAAACTACTTGCAGTTAGTATTTGCCTGAAGTCTTAGAGTCTGGACTGTTTGTGATGTCTTAATAAACTTTACCTTTTGTTACTTATTTGATCAAATTGTGACTGTTATGAGGTGTTGGGCTTGTTTTTTTTACTAGGAAAGAGATATGTTTAATATCAGTATGTCAAATGACAATCTGAACGCAGTGTGACAATGAGAAAAGCGTCGGTGGTGATAAACCTGCAAAGAATTATCAGCTGAATATCCAACTATGGAGCTTTATAGTGAGTTTAGGTTCTTTCGCTGTCAAGCCAAAACGTTCGCCAGAACAGAAAAAGCCGCTGTACACTACAAGCAGCAGGCTGGAGACTAGATGTTAGAGGAACATTAAGCAGCAAAGGGAGTCCCTCGGGGATGAGTGGAGACCAAAACACGGTAACAAGAAACTTCTGATTCTTTAGATGACACAAACACAACTTTTAAGCCACCGTGAAACCATGAAACCAGTTCTCATGCTTTGAATACTCCCAGAAGCAAAGTGGCCTCAATAATTAGGAAATGCACGTCGCAAGCTGACTAACTGAGCAAGAAAGGCCTCGATTAGGGAGCTGGTCCTTGCACACCTCCACTGTTGCAAAAAAAAGGCTCACCGGCGGCTGCACTATCTGTGGAGGCTGAAAAAAGGCCCATCTCAGCCCATCTGTCCTCACCACCATCTACAGAGGCATCATAGAAAGTGTGCTCACCAGAAAGGCGCTGAGGAGGGTGGTGAGGGCAGCTGAGAAGATCTCTGGCGTCACGCTGCCACCTGTTGGGGGCTTGGCCCAACAACGCCGCCTGTCCAGGGCAAAAAGGATTTTAAAGGACAATACACACCCCTGTCACAAACTCTTCTTTTCTTCTGTCTTCAGGCGAGAGGCACCGCAGTCTGAAGTGCAAAAGGTTTTGTACTAGTCTCTACCCCTCCGCCATCAGACTCTTAAATTCTCAGGACACTTAAAAACTCGTTCATATGGTGCAATAAATTTGTCTGTGGTGCAATATGTTTTATTTCTGCCATGGCAGTGCGATACTGGTTTTTAGAATTGATTTATTCATGTTTTATTGCGATACCTCCTAGAAGTCGCGTGTCAAGGATCGGAGACGAACTCTTTGAGAGCAAAACAGTTTGAAGTGTAGTAGCATCAGAAGTAGGCCATGACCTTCTCCATGTTTAATTATTTTCTACATTCAGGATTAATACCGAAGACATTGAAACTAGGTAAGAACACATACAGAATGTTTTCTCTGATGACACACTCCTGACATTCTCTCAGTTTAGCTTCATGAGGTCGTCTCCTGGAGTGGCTTTAAATTAACGGTGTGACTTGTCAAGAGTCAAGTTGTGGAATTACACTGCTCAAAAAAAAAAAAAATAATAATAATAATAATAAAGGGAACACTAAAATAACACATCCCAGATCTCAATGAATGAAATAAATAATTTGAAAATCTTTATGCATTACATGGTGGAATGTATTGAGAACAAAATAACATAAAAATGATCAATGTGAATCTAAATGATCCCATGGAGGGCTGGATTTGGAATCATACTCAAAATAAAAGTGGAAAATCACATCACAGGCCGATCCAGCTTCAGTGGTAATTCAAGACAAGTCAGAATGAGGCTCAGTGGTGTGTGTGGAGTCCACGTGCCTGTAGGACCTCCCTACAGCTCCTGGCTCTGCTCCTGATGAGGCGGCGGATGTTCTCCCGAGGGATCTCCTGCCAGACCTGGATTAAAGCATCATCAACTCCTGGACAGTCTGTGGTGCAACGTGGCGTTGGTGGATGGAACGAGACATGATGTCCCAGATGTGCTCAATTGGATTCAGGTCTGGGGAACGGGCCAGCCAGTCCATAGCATCAATACCCTCATCATGCAGGAACTGCTGGCACACTTGAGCCACATGAGGCCGAGCATTGTGATGCATCAGGAGGAACCCAGGGCCCACTGCACCAGCATATGGTCTCATAGTGGGTCTGAGGATCTCATCTTGGTACCTAATGGCGGTCAGGGTACCTCTGGCTAGTCCATGGAGTCCAAAGAAATGCCTCCCCACACCATTACTGACCCACCACCAAACCGGTCATACTGGAGGATGCTGCAGGCAGCAGAACGTTCTCCAAAGCGTCTCCAGACTCTGTCACGTCTGTCACATGTGCTCAGTGTGAACCTGCTCTCATCCATGAGGAGCTCAGGGCGCCAATGGCCAATCTGCCAACCTTGGTGTTCTCTGGCAGATGCCAATCACCCTGCACGGTGCTGGGCTGTAAGCAGAAGCCCCACTGGTGGACGTGGGGCCCTCAGACCACCCTCATGGAGTCTGTTTCCACCAGTTTGAGCAGAAACATGCATATCAGTGGCCTGCTGGAGGTCATCCTGCAGCTCTGGCAGAGCTCCTCCTGGTCCTCCTGCACAAAGGAGGAGGTAGCATCGTGCTGCTGGGTTGTTGCCCTCCTACGGCCCCTCCACGTCTCCTGGTATCTCCTCCAGGCTCTGGACACTGTGCTGAGAGACACAGCAAATCTTCTTGCCACTGCTCTCACTGATGTGCCATCCTGGATGAGCTGCACCACCTGAGCAGCTTGTGTGGGTTGTAGACACGCCTCATGCTACCTCTTGGGCTGAGAGCACTGACAAGATGCAAAAGTGACCAAAACATCAGCCAGAAAGGATGAGAACAGAGACCTGGTCTGTGGTCACCACCTGCAGAACCACAGAACCTCTCCTTTATAGGGTTGTCCTGCTCACTGCCTCTCATCTCCACCTGTTGTCTGCTCCATTTGCACAACAGCAGGTGATTCACGATGAGTGCTGCTTCCTAACTGGACAGGCTGATTTCACAGAAGTGTGACTGACTTGAAGTTACAGCGTTGTTTAGGTGTTCCCTTTATGTTTTTTTGAGCGGTGCACTTCTTGTGCTGTGCAGAGACACTAACACACAGCGGATAGCTCTATTTGACTATTCTTGTAGAAAACATTGAGGAAAAGTCTGTTGGAAATCTGCAAAATAATAAGAATGAAAACGTTGGTTACAGTTTTCTGTTATGCCATCATAACAGCATGATTTCTGTATTTTTATTATTTTTTTACAACATTATTTATGATTAAGAAAAACACAAATTCAGAAGTTTGTCAAAGACAGAAAAAAACACGAATGCAAAAGTCCTCAAACACTCATACTTTAAGTATTTTTTATTATTATTTGGATTATTTTATTCGTCTGTAAAACTTTTCTGCAGAGGAGGCACAACTTTTCTGAGACCCAGTGGCGCTTTACTTGCGGTTCTCTGGTTCCCTGGCGGCGACAAGCAGCGTACAGCGGATTATTTCTGCGTCCAGTCGCATGTATGGGTGAGTGCCTGGTTTCCTGTATGAATACTAAATACAAACCACGTGGTGTGAAAGCAGACTGCAGCTTCTTTTGTTCAAATCAATCAAACCGGAGACGGACAGAGAGCTGCTGAATCAGGAAATCGCCGGTATATGATTTATTCTTTTTGCCGTATTTCAACAGAAATAACATTTTATTCACTCGAGATTACACCTCTTGTGCGTACGCTAGACTTAAAAAAAACACATCCGGTTGAGAAAATACTTGAAAAGTTTTTTTTTGTTGTTGTTGTAGCATCGTTTTGTGTAACGTTAGTGTCCATGTCTTTATTTAGAGAGTCTGTTAGCATACAGCGTTAGCTTCGTCAAGCTCATCAGTGGCATATTTCTGCAAATTTGACCCAATCTTGTTTTTACGCCGGGTTTAAGGATGTGTAGCGTTTTTGTAAAGCATACAAACTTTGTCTAACTCGTTTCGCGAACATTTTAACTTCACACGCCGTGCGTTAGCTCGACAGCTAGCTTGCTTCGTACCCATTATGCGAACAAAGAGCGACAGAGGTTAGCTTAAAGACGCTAGCAGCTAGCCACCAGACGGAGCTCACTGTGTTGTAGTTCGCTGCTAGTTTTTACTTTCCAACGGTAGTTTCTTGTGTCTGTCGATAAAACGTCTGTAAAAAATTATTAATTTGAGTAAATTTGCCAAATTTGAGTAGCCGGTACGTGACAATAGAGGCAAAGGAGCCGCTTGAAATGTCGTATAATAAACTTCTTCGAGCGTCATTTAAAGATAGCACAGCCGGGTTTAGTGTGTTTTTAAAAGGATATAAAAGTTTTTGTTGAAGTTTGTAAAGTTACAAAAAGTAGAATGATAAAAGTCCTTGATTTTTATTTTTTATTTTTATTATAATGGCGTCTGTTGTGCCGCAACTTGCTGACGAGTTTGTATAGTTTGTATTATTCGATGGTGCTTTTAAATGGTCTTTTCAGTTGGGAACGTATTCATTGTGGTGCCGTGGATGTTTTTTTAAAATTTTTATTCCCATTGTGTTGTGCTGTTTTTCAGCCATTGGTGGTTCTATGATTCATACTCAACTACAAGCTATTCTTGTGTTTTTTCCTCCCCTCTGCCTTGTTCCTAACATGTCCTGTGGTGTTTTGAACATTTGACTTTAGGTTCAATTACACATTATTGTTGCTCTTTATAGGAACTAATCACTGCCTCTTTCTTTCTTTCTTCCCCCCCCTCTCATCAACAACAGCTTCTGGTTGAACGATGCCACGTAAGAAGGTGACAGATGTCTCAGGGAACGGTGGGATGAAAAAGAAGAGGGCCAGTGGCAAAAGGAAAGAGAGGGACTTCAGCAGCGACGACGAGTTCGACTTCGAGCAGGAGAACAACAAGAAACCTGGCAAACCCGCTGCCAAGTCCGGCCTGCAGCCCGTCACCGTCGCAGATGATGTCAAAGAGAAAATAGTGGGTTTGATGCATCCTTCAACAACTTGCTGCCTGGTTTAAGCAGAAATGTGTTGAAATCTTAAAACCCCCGTTAAGGGTATAACTAGAAAAGAAACGACAAACGTGGGTCACATTTTTTTCCTCCCTAATTCTAACCGATTAAGTCGTGAGAATATTGAATAAGTATAATAATAAGTTCAGTTTTCTTTATTCTAGTTTTGCACCTACTTGTGCTTTAGCGTTGTTTTCCCCTTCGTGTACCACAATATGACCCTTGGCATAGAATTTAGCTTCTTCCTTTATCTGCTTTCTGATAAAAATACTCAGATGTTCTTTGCGGTGAAGAGTTGCAGTGTTTCCTTACAGTGTACAAGGATGGATTACTTGTGTGTGACTATTTAAGGAAAATTATTATGGTGAACGTACCTCCATATTTTCTCCTAAATGTCAAACGTCCCTATAATTAAAACACAGAAGCTATGATTCAGCTGCTGAACCGGTTTAAGCTTATGCAACCATTTGTGAGGGTTTTTATTTTTTTATTTTATTCTGTTATTGACCAAGTGTTCTTCCTTTCTACAGAAACTCGATTGCCCAAAGGTAAAAGGTCAACTGCTCATCTTTGGAGCCACCAATTGGGATCTGATTGGAAGAAAGGAGGTGCCCAAGCAACAAGGTAGGGCATTTTTAAAATGGCTGGTCCTAAATCTGCGACTGATTACGTCCCCTTTTTGTCTCATCAGCTTGATTCTTATCTGAAGTATGAGTGACAAACGTGATCTATCATATAAAAGCCTTTTTATAAGAATCATTTCTAAATGCAAGAGAAGGAAGCTGGTATGCTTCACACGTACCCGTCGTCTCATTTTTCAGTTTGTGCATCCTCGATTCCTTTCCCTTGCTTCCTCAGAATGCTGAGTTTCTTCTTTTTCTGTCTGGAGCACGAGAATGTTTCCCTAAAAAAATGAACTTTTAAAGCGAGTCAGGATCCAGACTGGCTTTTTGAGAGTCGCATTTGTGCAAGTGAGGAGTGATAATTAGCCTGTTTTAGAGCTCTTTTGACCAGCGTAGCTTCTGTGTTTCCCCATTGTGATTGAAAGTAGTGCTTCATCTTCTTCAACAGCTCAAAAGACAAGAAGAGGGAGAGGCTCCAACTCAGACAAACTAGATGATGAGAGTGGAAGCTAGTTCATATCGACAGGGCCAGTGAAGAAGGAAAACTTTAAAATACAGAGCAGGATTTTGGCTTCCCACAACTAGATTAACACGACTGACAGCACTAGTAGCATTTGTAATGTCTTCATAGGAACTTCTGCTCAGACAATAGCCCGTGCAGACAAAGCCACTTGGTTTCAACTTGGGTAAATCTGACATTTTAACCCCTTATTTCACACTCTTGTCACACACGAGCTGCTGCACTACAGTAACTGTGTGGGGAACAGGCAAACACTTAGTGACTGTAGCTTCCTGAAATATTCTTCTCACATTTAAGTTGTCACGCCTGGTGCACGACAGAAAACCTGCGTTGTTGCCTTAGATGCTGCACAAAGATACTGTTTTTTTTTTTTTTTGTGAAGACGTACACATAATTACAACTGCAAAATGTCATTTTCACGTTCCCATTTCTGCAAGGATTAAACACAGGTGCATGTTAACCAGTGGACTTTAGAGGTCATGGTAGTTGTGTTGTACCTGACACAAACCCGAGGCTGAGATCCACCACTGGATGAGATGCGAAAGGGTTGGATAGGGAATTCTGATCAGGCCCATCTTGAGTTGTTGGACACAATGTGAAGGGTTTGATTTGATGTATGGATTTTTTTTTTTTTAACCAGCGGATTATCCAGACCCCTCTCTGTCGTATGCCGACAACATGTAGGAACTCGTACAAGCAAAAGATTGATCAGGTTTTCCTCTGTGTCTACAGTAGAGAACCAAAAGGCTAAATGCAACCACATGCTAGGTGTACATGTGTCTTTTTGTTTGGGATGCACTTGCCACGTATGTGTCAGAGCCGGTGGGATCCTGTTAATTGATTGTGACAGTAATGTCTATTCATATGCATGCATGTTTCTGCGCTGCCCCACCCCCAACCCCCCGAGCCCTGCAGCAGGCCTACTGATGCCTGGGGCAGGCTGTGCGCTGCCTTGTTTTATTCTTGACTCGCTATTCTGGTATACACTGATAAATTTGCTTTGTTGAAACTGGATGGGGGGTTGGGGGTGTCGGCTGGAGCAGCTGCATAGACAAAGACGGTCTATCAATCGATGATGTTGGGCTCACCAAGGCGTCAACATCACATTCAGATCTTCTTTTTTTTTGTGCTGCATTTATATATATATATATAGAAAAAAAATGCATTTGCCATTTTTAGCACTGCTTGTGGAAGTGTAGCAGCAGCAGTTTGTCTCGAGTTGAAAGTGAAAGTAGACTGCGTGTGTTTCTTTTGAACTTCCTATTTATCTGAGTGATCCAGCTTGGTGCAAGTAAGCGCACTTCATTTCAGTAGTCCTATGATGACGGCATCGTTGTTAAATCTAAGTATTACTTGCATTTTTTTTCCTCCTGTCAAATTCCTTTTTGTTTGACGGACAAGGCTGGTGTTGGCCAATATTGTTCCTATTGTTTGCGGTGCACATCCAACGTGCAGATCCCAGCCAACACTTTGTTGGTTCATGTCAAGTAGTGTTTGACTTCAGTGTCTGTGGCTTTCAGCTCCAGGCTTTCTGAAGAGGTACATCTTTTAAAGCAGCTTGTGCGTATATATTGTTCTTTTTTTTGTTTGCTTGAGATAATATCAATCAAACTGAAGTTGAGTGGATTTGACTCAGTAGAAATGACATGACAACAATAGAGATAGCTTAATTTTGATTGACATGGTCTCAGGTAGACGATGGAGATGTTGTTTTTTTTTTTAAAGGTTTGTGAAGATTGGGTTATCTGTTTAACTCTTCATATATATACATACACTGTACCTTTTAAGAAGGACTCAGTACATTTCAAAAACAGCAAGTAATTGTAGTTTTTATAAAATGAGAATAAAACCTCTGTTGGGTACTACTTTCAGTAGCAGATTAAAAAGCCTCGGTGCTCTATTGAGCACATCTGTCGTTATACACTACTGTGTGTGTTTATATAAAGAATGGAACATACTACCTAACACTATGCCTCACAGATGTGTTGAGGTTTTTGGACCACAGTCACAATGATGTCAGTGTCATAAACAAGTTGGAAAGATTGAGGGCCACGGTTCAGTTGAGCGGGCATTTTTGATCCAACTGTGTTGAGTTCAGACTCCAGTTTTATGTCCTTGTCTGTCCCTGATGCATCATGTTATAATATGTTCATGTAATTCTCTCTCCATGTATACTGTGGTCAGTGAACAAAATAAGGGGATAAAGTAACATTTGGTTTGTGTTGACAAATGGGGAGTGTGTCAGACGGATGTCTTCTAATTTGATGTGCGATCTGTCTTTGTATGCAGCTGCGTTTCGCAACCTGGGTCAGAATCTGTGGGGTCCTCACCGCTACGGCTGCCTGAATGATGTCCAGGTCAGCTGCGTGGTGTCTGGTCCCTGTGCTGCCCACAGTCTCCTCATGACCACTGAGGGCAAGCTGTGGAGCTGGGGTAAGTAACGTGTTCAGTAGCATCGTAGGGAGGTTTGCATCAGTGTTTGAGTTCAGAGTGGAAGGAATTAACCACCGCTGACCTCTTGGTTCCTGCCTCCTCAGGTCGTAATGACAAAGGTCAGCTGGGACACGGCGACACCAAGCGTCTGGAGGCTCCTAAGCTAATCGAGGCTTTGGCAGAGCATGTGATTGTTTCTGCAGCCTGTGGACGCAATCACACCCTGGCACTCACAGGTAGGCTGAACCCAGATGTGTCCTGTCATCAAGGGTGTCGGGGTTATTATTCCAGCCAAACTACGTCAATGTAGTGGTCAAAGAATGGAGTTTTCTGAAAAATCTGAACTCCACTTGTCATCGCTCTGTGTTTGTAAATGTGCTGATGCCATTCTTTTTCAGAGGATGGCAGTGTCTACTCTTTTGGTGAGAACAAGTTGGGCCAGCTCGGCCAAGGCAACCAGACTGATGCAGTCCTGAGCCCAGCACCGGTAAGCCATCACTAAAGTGGTTCAGATGTGTGCTACCTGTTTCGGCCTTAAAGTGTTGCTGTAGAGGTCACAAACGTATACCGTATAGTAACTATAGCGACTGACACGTATGACATCAGTGGGCTGCTGCTTTGCTGTGGCTGCTTGTGTCGATGCGATTTTTGCTTTGGTAGTTTCTGCCCACACCGGAACCCACAGTTGACATGAATGTGGCGCAGCTTCTGTGATAGCAGCTTCAGCCGTAATTATGATCACAGCAGCAGTAACATCCTGAACTCCACCATTCCTGTCTTGAGCACAGACACAACACAGCAGACAAGTTGTATCGTCTATGGTCGTAGTGGTGGGTAGGATTTGATAGATTGCGTAGTTCTCACCAAGAAGCTATTTATCCGTGTTGCTGATTAGATAAATGACCATGCCTCAAGGCTCTTTAGCCGTTGCTGTCCATCCTGCAGTTTAGCGATGGTGACAAGAAAACACCTGCATCACAGGTTCAACCGTCCAGTAACACTTTCTAAACAGTCCCAGTTTAGAATTGTCAGATCTATTTCAGAATATCATGGCCATAGCAGGAATCAAGCGTGGCAGACAGTTGTGGATCAGAGCGGATAGCAGTTTGCAAAAGAAGCCTGTAGCCGACGACGTAGTAGGCATTCTGGTGTGCTGTCTTCATAGTCCACCTTGTCTCTCTCCCTGTAGATTTCCTACAACGGCCAGCCCTTGGTGAAGGTAGCCTGCGGTGCCGAGTTCAGCATGGTTGTGGACTGCAAAGGAAACCTGTACTCCTTCGGCTGCCCCGAGTACGGACAGCTAGGTAAGCTCACAACATGCAAGGACGTCTGTTGTTTTGATTGTGTTAGCTTCCTTTATGGTGCGTTTGCATCACTTGGTGGTTAGTTTTTATTATAGGAGAATATCTGGTGCTGCTTATAGCTGATGAAAGCCAAATGTGGAAGATGACGTGTGTAAGCTACATATTAAAACATGCAGTCAAGTAATTGTCAAAAGATAAAGAACTTTAGTCTGTAGATTACCCACTCGGGAGCAGTTTATGTGCAGCGTTTATTAAAATGCAAGCACCAGGAATTTTAAGCTCTCATTACTGACATTGGAAGCTGCCTCAACACACAGCACTGATTAGACCAGGCTAGGTTTTATATTTTCATAGCATTGACACTTCATCTGTGTCACTGCAGGTCACAACAGTGACGGGAAGTTCATAGCTCGCGCCCAGCGCATCGAGTTTGACTGTGAGCTCATCCCTCGTCGTGTTGCCATCTTCATTGAGAAGTCTAAGGATGGCCAGGTCATCCCTGTGCCCAACGTGGTGGTCAGAGATGTGGCCTGTGGCGCCAACCACACGGTGAGAAAATACACTAAAAACAAATTACACAGTTATCTTTCTATAGATAGCCTGTGATTGTTCCAGCAGGGCTTACAGACTGCTGCCGTTACCCCGTTTGCTGTGGCTGTTGATACCACAGCATTAAATATAGTCATATAATTATCTGTGTGTGTGTGTTTGTGTGTGTGTGCAGCTGGTCCTGGACTCTCAGAAGCGAGTGTTCAGCTGGGGTTTCGGTGGTTACGGGCGTCTGGGTCACACAGAGCAGAAGGACGAGATGGTTCCCCGACTGGTTAAACTTTTTGACTTCCCTGGACGAGGTGCCAGTATGATCTATACGGGATACCAGTGCTCATTCGCCGTCAGTGAGATGGGTACGAACGGAGCACGTCAATTTCAACTTGTTGTTTGACTTTAACTGATGCTCAGCCAAGAGCTCTAAATGTTAAATACCAAATGTTAAGTCACAGTCATTTCTACAGTAAATGATGCTGGGTACATTTGTTTATGTCTGATCAGCTGATGTGGTGTTTTGCAGGGGGCCTGTTTTTCTGGGGAGTGACAAACACTTCCAGAGAGTCAACCATGTACCCCAAAGCTGTGCAGGATCTGTGTGGCTGGAAGATCCGCAGCCTGGCATGTGGGTGAGTGCTGACGTTGATCCAGTGTCACGTTTTGATGTTGTGACAGGCTGCTGGGGGTTAATACAGGTCGTACATGCTCATAGCCGACTACCAAGGACAGTTCAGTAAGGTCAACTCTCTGACCCATTGGTGTATCGGAAAGCTTTGACTTGTGCTGTAAACAAAGTGGGTTTAAGGTTTTAGGTCGTCCCACAAACAGCTAGTCTGAAGTAAAAACTCTCTGATGTTCGATACCAGTTCTGACACCACAGCAACAAATAAACTAGTTAGATGAATGCATTTCCGCATTAACTGTTAATTCTTTGATAAAACTTCGGGTTGGAGCCAAGTAGTAATAATAATAATAAATGACAGTACTGTGATGTGCATTAATATTGTGCCACAAAATGATAACTAACTATTTTATAATAATTTAGCATTTCTGCTGTGTAATATGTGCAAAAAGGAACCCAAGTGGGCCATTCCATCTCAAACCATGACGCCTGTCGACCCACTTTCGGCACAATTTTTCGCACATTGAAATTTGAGACTTAGTTTGAACGACAGCATCTCAAGAACTAAGATAACAGATGACAGACATCTGAAATATAGGACCCATAAACCAAATTCTTTCCAATTGTAGGTAAGTTAAAATGTGAAAAAGCACTTTCTAGCGTACATTAACAAAAACAATGATAATCCAAATGTCAACTAGTGATATTTTCTGAACCGTATGTGGTTGCATTTTACAAAAATACAAAATAAAACAAATAGGATATGTTGTAATAGAAAATACAAGGTCACAAAAATGAAAAGAAAGTTATTCTAAACTGAGTCTAACTCTGTATATTTTGTATTTGACAGGAAGAGCAGCATCATCATTGCTGCAGATGAGAGTACGATCAGCTGGGGCCCTTCACCCACATTTGGAGAGCTGGTAAGACCCGAGTCATCCCACTTGATGTCTGTTAACCACGTTTACTGCTTTCAGCCCACTATTAATGTCCACTGGAGCAAATACAGTCGAGTTGTTAATGACAGTCTGCCACTGTAGGAAAATCCACAAAATCCTCTTGTGTTACAGTAAAACTTTGCAGCGTCTCTTCGGTCTTGCTTCTGTTTCACCTTCACTTAAATCTTCAGCTTATTCAACACTCTGCCGCCCGTCTCCTCACCCACACCCACTCACGGATCACATCACCTCCGTCCTCCAACATCTCCACTGGCTCCCTGTCAAACAATGCATCAAGATCCTCCTCCTCACCTACAAAGCCCTCCATCATCTGGCCCCCTCCTACCTCACAGACCTGCTCCAGCCCCTCACGGTCCTCCTCTGCTCACCTCCTCGCCCCACCCTCTGGAACTCCATCTCCCATCTGACCTCCACACATTCAAGCCTCCTTTAAAAAGTCACCTTTTCAAGATCGCTTTTAATGTTTAACTGTTTTACTTTTTTTTTTTTTTTTTTGCTTTTTTTCTTTTTTTTTTTTTTTTTTTTTTTTTTATCTGTTTTTTTTTTTCCTTTTTTTTTTTTTGTTTTTTTGTTTTGTCCTGTTTTGCGCGTCTTTGGTTTTTTTGAAAGGGGTTTGAAAAAAATAAATGTGTTATTATTATTTCCCTTGAAGATAAGTCCGATAATGATAATATTTCTAGACGTTGGCCGTCGTGTCGTGAGTCAGGAGCTGAGCATTGATTGCATCTCGTCATTTGTCTTTCAGGGATACGGAGACAACAAACCCAAATCCTCCACCACCGCCCAAGAGGTTAAGACTTTGGATGGCGTCTACGTTGAGCAGGTCAGTTTCTGATACGTCCCTCCCTCTGGCAGGAAATGCATCAAGAACGTCCACCCTCATTCTTCACATTTGAAAATCACCTTCTCTCAGTTTTGGTCCTTTTCATTCACGCTGAGGAAATGGAGGGTTTTGAGAAGGCTCACCTGAGTGGATAAACTTAAACAGCAGTGTGCCGGCATGCTAGCAGCGCTGTCAGGCTGCACTTGCACTGTGCTCCATTTGTATTCGAGGTTAGAAAATTCCAAACGCAACATTCAAATTCTGAGCTCACAGTTCACACATGTAAGCAATCAATATGGCTAACGGGGAGAAACGCATCTTGAGGTTATCGCACATTTCACATCAATTTTGAAAGAGGATCAAACCATCACATGCATTAGAATTACATGTCTAGTAATACTAACATCACTGTGTGTTGTGTTGCTTTTGCAGGTGGTGATGGGCTACTCTCACTCTCTGGTAATCGCCAGACAGGACACTCAGCAGGAAGAGGAGAAGCTGAAAAAGCTTCCCGAGTACAACCCCCGAACAATCTGAGCGGCCCTCCAGCAGCGACACCTCAACCCGTTTCACTGGAGCAGAGACCGGCGATGCTGAGCAGGAACACCACGCCTGTTCGGTCACTGCTGGTCACAGCGGTGTACTGGTGAGATGGTTGAGTTCGGGGGGAGGCGCTCTCAAGTCTGCAGGATATCCGCACATCTCAACTACTGGCAAACTGGCTCCACACCAATTTGGACACTGAAATCAGAGAAGATGAGGCTGGAGACGGACAGATGCTCTGGATGGTCCAGCTCTCACAATAAAAGGTCAAGATATCGTCACTTCCCACCTCGAGTGAACCTGTAGCAGTTTGCTCCCAGAACTTCACACCTAGCAGAGTCGTGCTTCCCCAAACCCCCCTTTTCCATTTTGTAATACAGTCAAACATTCATGTCTTCACATCACGTTCTGTTGTTTTCTTCATTGCAGTATTTGAAATGATAGTTGTTTGTCACATTTACGGGTGCTACAGCAGGACCCTCAGTCTTTTCCTACTGGGAGGTTTTCAAAGACCAACACTCCATACCTGTGCCTTTTTCTACGTGTATGGACGTCTTCTTTGTGTTGTTCAGAGGATCAGTTGATCAGTCTGATTTTAGTTTATTTGGCAGTGTTACTATGTGTGTGAATCTGCCACAGATTACAATCAGGAATTGGAACATGATGTTCTGAGTTAGTGCACTCCACTCAAGGTTACATTCCTTTTGTTATTGTTCAGTGTTTGCATCGAGGATGCACACCTCAGTCCTTCCAAGACCACAGTGTCTGCTAGCTCTTACCTTTGCTAATTTGATTAATTCCGACTATTCCAACGCTCAAAGCGGTTTCACAAGCAGTTCAGAACTTCTAGAACCAACAATACACTGTCCGGCACTGGCTCGGTGCGTCAAAGTGTGTCGGAAACCAAGACGTGTTCTTGTTTTTCAAAAACAGCGAGGTGTTTTCCACTTATCTGTACTGCATTCTTTTTTTATGGTGAAATTTCTCTGGGTTACATTGTTTTATCATAGAAATGGTTAAATAAAGATTCATGTAAATTGATTTGCAGCCCTCTGCTTGTGTTACATCTGTGCTGTTTGTCTTAGTCACAGTTGCAGTTGACATCATTTTTAGGGTCCGAGCACCCAAAAGGGTG